TTAACAAATACACGTATAATGGTACTTACATACATTCTGTGGATTGTTGCCTATAGTTTTTGGGCTTCTTTACCTGCAACAGTTGTCCCTCTCCCTCACTGCACCTTGAGGCTTAGGTACACTTTCTGTGATGCTGGTGCTGTATTACGAACCCTTTGTGTTGACCCACAGAAATATTTCAATCAAGGTGCCAGTAAGTTATTTTTTCTGTTATTTTTCACATTCGTTTTCATTTGTCTTTCATACTGTGGGATCTTGTTTTTTGTGAAATTATCATCAAATAATGACAGAATGAAAATGGGAAGCACTCTTGTGAGTCACCTGATTTGTGTAATATGTTTATACTGTCCCATTTTTATCCTTGCTATTTTGACCAGGTTTGGTGTGGTATTAACTCTTGAAGAACGCCAAGGTTTATCAATTGGCACCATCCTCGGTCCATCTCTTGTAAATCCCTTTGTGTATTTTCTTAGGACAAAGGAAATTAAAAATAAGATTTTTAAGATACTTAGAAAGGTTAACACAGCTCGTTAGAGTCTTGTGAACTGTGAGTACACTTACTTTTAAAATGGGCAGAAATGTTGGAATATTCATATATGCATTTTTTAAACTTTGTCCTGGTCAGATTTTTGAACTTTTGAGTCCTATTTATGTGAGAAGAATCAACCTGTAAATCATTACACTAACAGTCGTATTTAAAAAGTAGATTGAAGATGATTTTCTTACACAACACAATTTTGAAACACAAAATGTTCCAATTCACTGTGGCACATTTGAATTTTGGATTAAATGCACTGACAGCTCAAAGAGCTTACGATTCAAGTAGTGAACAAGCAATTTCTCTCATTGATTCTTTATCATGATTATTTGTTGTTGTTTGTGAGCGACACTGTTTGACAATAACAATTTATGAAATAATTACTGTGTACTATTTTGAACCAAAATAACGTCTGTCATTAAATTCTGGAATGCCTGAGAAGAAAGGGTTATTGTTTTGTTTTGTTTTTTGTAAGTGGGTGAATGACAACATTCTTAAAACAGTAGGGAATTGACCAGATAACAAGCAAGCAAGCAATTTATTTATATAGCACTTTCAGATCAGCCCCCAGCTGAACACAAAGTGTTGCACACTTGACATGCCAGAAATGATACATTGAACATGTTAAAAAAATAAGAAATAAAAAAATAATATAAAATAAATAAAAAATACTTAAAAAAAAATAAAATATAAGATGATTATTAAAATGACATTTAAAATAATAAAATTAGCACAAATAACAAAAACAATAATAAAATAGTATAAAAATGATGAAGAGAATAACATTTAAAACAATAAAAGCAGGGTCAGACTGTGTCATAAGCCAAGGAGTAAAAATGGGTTTTAAGACGTGTTTTAAACGTAGACACGGAAGGGGCCTCTCTAATGTGCTGGGAAAGATTGTTCCACAGATTAGGAGCA